AAAAAGATTATTTTTCTATATTTCTCAAGTCATGGAATATTTTATTTATTACAGTATATTGATTATAGTTTTATCGTTAATCTTTAGCAAACCAAAAAAAAAGATGTTATCATAAACTAAAAATAGTTTGCTCATCAAGCGAGCAGTGTCAATCGTGTATTCGTTAATTTTGCCTTATCCGTTTTTAATGATTAATTTACTAGAAATTCACATTATAAAAATACACATTGGATGTCGATTATCTTGTAAATAGATACTTGTATACTTTCTGAATTGACTTTTAATATTTAAATTTTCTCATGATGTTATTTTGAGTATATGTAAAAAAAAAAGAATATCATTGTAAAATGTCATTTAATTATTATGGGTATTTTTCATTCTTAAGGATGATTTATGAGGTGGACTTTATGTTTTGAAAAAAAAATTCGTCATTAGGGAATGAAGTTGGACTGCTGAGTTCGGCAAACTGTAATTCAGTAGCGTGATGTCATGACTCAGCAATGGTCTCAGCATTCACTGTATTCGTATATCCATGTCCTGAGTTAACATTGATACACGCAATATTCTATAATATCTTTTAAAATCGATCTTATATCACATTCTCAGATTGGTTGATTTTGTACACTTAAAAAAAAAATTTTTTGGAAATTATTTCACGCGGATATTTAAAAAAAAAAATTGTAATGTAACTTATAGGTTATGTTTCCATTTGAAATTACAATCTTTGGGTAGTTAATAAATAAATAATCATAATAATGACAATTTGTTTCTAAATAAAATGTTAATTAGAAATTTTGCTTTATGTTACAGGTAAGAATCAATGGCTTGGTAAAAATGGATCTTTACACAAATAATAAGTATTATGTAAAATATTCTTACTTTTTATAATATAAGACTGAATAATATTTCAGTAGTGACTGAAACTAGTTAACATAGAATCACATTTCAGTGATAAAATCCAACGACACTAGCGCTGCAAAGTGAAACTAATTGAACTTAAAAAATAATTGCGCGCGATTTTTAAATTTTCAATTTTCTGATAAAAAAAAAAACGTTGATTATTTCTTTTCAAAAATTATTGCAATGAAAAATCGAAAATAAATTTTATCGTAAAATTATAAAATGACGTAAAATATTTTGTCAACATTTGTAAAATAATTATTTTCCTTGATGTTATCAAATGTTAAAGGGTCATCATACAATGAAAAAACAATTTTTATTATTGTTTATTAAAATTTATATTTATAATTCCTTTAATTTATTTCTTGTTATAATTGTTTTAAAATGACTTTTTGAATATTTAACAAATTCTCCAATATCATGGAACAATTTCTATATATTATATTGTTTTACGAGAAAGGAGATCAGTTATCGTTTGACACCAATCGATAAATAGAGTTAATCATTTGCAAAGTCCTTGTAGGAATTTTAACGAGAAGATAATTTAATGGACGAGTTAGGAAACTTAACCTAAAGTGGGACATATCTATACTGTATATTAAAACGTCGATAACTTTCAAAGTTATATCTATATCGGAAGTATAAAAGTATATGTATATATATATATACTTGAAAAGCACGTGTAAACACTTGTCGTTCTTTTTTTATAGTTGTATCATGAACTATATTTACACGTTTTGGTAAATAACCCCTTTGACCTAGAAGAACGTGACGTGAATAATTTTTTATTCTACAGCCACATTAAAATCAAAATTACTGAATTGTATTAAATATAATTTTTTATTTACAATTCGAAAAATTAATTAGAAGATAAGAAAAAGTATTTTTTTAATTAAAATTTTGTTTATTTTATTATGATATTCAAATTTTCTAAAATTGGGTTTCAATTGCATTAAGATTTTCCATATAAAATTGAAGTTGCTGAAAAGGGTGATTTTGGAGTTTCCCAGTCGCTGTAGAAATGGAGCAAAAAGAGGATGAGACAGGTGCAACATTGAGTAGAAAATACGCCCACTTGCATCTGCTCTCAGGTCTCTCTTGTCATGAGACGCTGTACATATATACATTTATACTTAGCAAGGATTGCAAATTAAAGCTCCGTTCATAGAATCGTAAGGAATAAGACGAGGAAAGCTTGTTGGTTTCGAGATTTAATTTTTCAATTTTCGCTATACGAGCTTCCTTCTTCGTATCGTATATATATATGTGTTAAAATTGCCAAACGATATAGAATTTGTAACTTCTATTCATGACTTCTTTCGAATTTCATCTTGTGAAAATAGGAAAAGAAAATTTCTTTAAACTTTTAAAAAATTTTATTTTTTATTTAAAATATAATTTTGTAATTTTATGAAATTATTCTCCTAGGTTACTTGAATTTCGAAATAAATAGTTACCAAAATTGTTGTGAGACACAAATAATCAACGCGCATCATTAGAGCGCAACTGATCCTTGCGCTTAGCCAATAGAAAGCGGACATCCCCACTTCTAGCTAGTCGCAAGTATTTAAGCAGCTTCACTGAACTCCTCGTGTCATTCGAAGTGGTGGCATCACGCCAAAAAAAAGTTCCCTTTATATTTAATTACAGAAATCATTCTCTCTTTAAGTTTACTAACAGGCAATGTAAAAAAATAATTTCAATTCGTATTAAAAATGTCTATTAATTAAATATTGAATGAAATTTTATATTAAAAAAGATATATAAAAAAAAATTTTTTAAAGAAAAAAATCAGAGTCATTTTTTTTTGCCTTTTTTTGGAGTCTGCTCTTCGATGAAGATATAATCCCGATCGCGTGCTGGTAGTTATCAGATTAAAGTTCGGCAGGGCAAATTGTAGTTAACTAGATTCTGATGAACCTCATACGGAGTGAGACGTGTACGTTGAACCGAAGTTTGCTGTGCTATTAGGAACCTATACTCGACTAAATTCGATATAGACCCAACAGGTTTTGGCTCACTATAGTTTACAGCATGAAGCCAGCAGGTGTTTTAAACTCACCAATTGTTCAATAATTGCCCCCCCCCCTTCCTTCCAAAAAACAGAAAACCAAATGCATCGTAAAGAAAATTTTTTTTAGAATTAATTATCCTACAAAAAAAATTCATGAAAATAATTACAACAAGGGAAAAAACTAATTCCACTAAGTTTATGTATATTATGAAATCTAATTTGAAAATTAGTAATTTTTCGTTAATTTATTATTGAAAAATTATTATATAACAGAAATTGAAAGTCTCACAGGATTGCTGGGGAGAAATTTGTGATTGGATTATTTGTAATTGAGTCTTGTCAAGTATTGATGGAAAAGCTCATTTCCGCTAGTTGTATAATATTGTACACTGTAATTATATATATATATATATATATATATATGGAAGACAGAAAGATTGGACATGTTTGTCCACATTGCTAATGCTCTCCCCCAGCTTCGATTCGCAATATACAAAAGCATGAATACAAATGCAAATTTGATCATCTATCCAAACAAAACATTACATCAGTTTGGCTGCAATTAAACTCGTATTCTTGTTTCAACTAAGCCGATAAAAATATCGATTCGACACTTCAATTGCAGGACCTATTGGGCAGTGAGAGTAATTTAATTGAAGGGAAATAGAAAATACAACGAATGTCTTTCAGTAACATGAAAATACACATTTAATTGATCTGTGTAATATTTTATTTACAAATGATATAATTATCAATTTATCTTTTGAATATTTATACATATATATTTCGCCTTGACAATGAAGATTGTATATTACTTAATAAAGATGTTGTTTCTAAAGAATATATATAAGAGAGATAATCAGCATCTAACATATAGTTGAAGGCCTTGACTTTGTCTTTTTTCTCTCTGGTATTTTGATTTCAAGTTATGATGCAGAGAGAAACACGTAACAATCGTATATACGCAACGCAAAGACTAATTAGATGAATATAATTATATATATTATTTTGATAATATGTTGTTTTAAAATTAGTTGTGAATATTTCTAATTATATATTATTAAATTCAAAGGAAACTTGCATGATTTTATTCTCTGTTTTTAGAATGTTTATTTTTCTCAATGTTCTTATATGACCTTATTGAGTTTCAAGGCTTTCGGATTGTAATTTAAAATATAATGTAAAAAAAAATCTATGTTCTTGAATTTTGAGGTTATGTTGGAAACTATTCTCACGCCGTGAAAAGACGTGACTTTAGCCAAATGTCTATTTTCACGCCGTGACTTTAGACGATTATCTATTTTCACGCCGTAAACAGACGTGAATTTAACAAAATGTCCTTTTTTGCGCCGTGACTTTAGACGATTGTCTATTTTCACGAAAATATACCTTTTTTTTTGTTTTTTAAAGTTTCTCCTTATTTTTTTCACGAGAAAAAGAAAATAAATTTCACCCATCGAAAAATAAATTCATCAGTTTACTAATTTCTCTCTCACTTTTCATAGTCCCCTCAATTTATATAAATGAGCATAAATTACAAAATTCATTTTGAATAGCACGAGTGTAAAACTGTTTTGCATTGATAATTTCGCAATGATTCGGTTTATTCGGTTCAATAGATGTTGATTATCGTCCTTCATTTTCAAAAGGCTGTGTGTGTGTTGTATAATAATACAACCACAAGCTGTCAATTAGATGATTCAATTTTGTATTTCGTTATAATGCAAAATGACGATAAATTAACTGACATTTATAATTATTTTTCATTTAACTGATTTGTAAATACTATAGTCATATTTTATAATCTAATGTAGAGAAAAATTTCTACAAATTCTGTTAAAAAATTATTTATTGTAGAAAATTATATCAAAAAAAATTTTTTTTTTTTTTTTCTTTCCTCATGTTAAGAAAATAATTTCATCCGCCTCGATCAAAAGTCGAGGACCGAATGACGTAGAGCGCAGCTTCACGTGGCATTAAAGCTAAACTTCGTTGGTAGTCGGAATTGTTCGGCTCGAGTCGAACTCTTAAAACGAGTGAGCTCCATACAGACAACTCCGATGACGAAAATATTCACCCGTCTCCAGTAGTGTAGTGTTCGGTTGTTCGCCAGAGAGGAAGGTTTGTGTTTTTCACAGTTTTTTTTTTAAATTTCAAAAAAAAGAAAGAAAAAAAAGAAAAACCGACCTCTCAATGTGACCGATTAAAATAAAAAAATTTTTTTCTATTAATTTTCTGTGTGAAGTGAGTTTGTGTGCAAAATTTCAAAAAAATCTTATTTTAAGTGTTAGTGTAATATTCCCCTTCTGTAAATGAGGGTTAGGGGTTTCCGTGTTTTTAAAAATCTCAACTCTCTCTCTCTCTCTTTCTAATAAGAAAATTAACAATTTTTTTCTATACTACTAATTACATAGGTTTAAAAAGTTCATTCAATAAAAAACGATTTATTAAAATTGAGATTAAAAATAGAATTAATTGTGCAACGCAATTTTTTCATAAAAAATTTCTGAATATAAAGATGAAAAAAAAATTTTTTAATGTAGAAATTATTTCACTATCTCGAAAAATTCTTCAGATAAAATATTTACAAAGAATGAAATAAAGAAGATAAAATAGATAACTAAAATTACTCATTAAACATTTGATTTTTAAATAATTTAAATTTATTTTGAGAAAAAAAAATTAGAAATAGAAAAGTGAAAGCAAAAAAAAATCTTTGAAACTGAGTTTATTGAAAAAGTCCTTTGAAAAGGAAGGTATAATTCAAAATAAGGTTGAAAAAGAGAAGGAGAGTGAGCAGGTATATATCGGAACACGTGTCCCTATGCCACCACTAATAGACCGAGTGGCATCTTATCAAACAAGTGCATTTTGCACGTACGAGACGAAAGATCGGACGTTGCTTGTTTAGCTCTCTTCTTTTAAAAACGAATAAAAAAAAAAAAAATACTTATTCAGGAAGAGAATCACGTGCAGTCCGCGTCATTTCGTTGGAATTCCTTGACTAGTCAACTTGGAAATAAAAAGAAAAAAAAAATTGAGCCACGTACATCTGGAACCTCTTTTTCCGTTGATTTTAGGATAAAAACCGGTTTCTCAATGCGCCAACAAAAATAGGCTTTGTACTTTAAAAAAAAGAATTAGAATTATATGTCTAAAAAAATTCTTATTTGATTAAACATTTAAATACAAATGTGTAATTCAAAAGTATTTTTAAAGATAAATTTTTACGAAAGATTTTTTTTTTAAATCCTATTTCAATAATAACGTTATTAGAAACATTATTAGTAACTCACGCGCTCTAAAGAAAGGGACCTTAAAAGCAAATGAATTTTAGAGGTTAGGTTAAAAATTCCATAACCTATAATTTTTTGCTTCTAAGTTACCTTTCTTCAGTGCGCGTCACTTAAATATGTAATTAATAAATTAAAGTAGTTAATAAAATAATATTCATTCATAAAAGTTTTTACCATTAGGGTATTTTTTTTCCAACACCTTATGGTGATATTTGTGTTTAAAGTCCTATATAAACTTTAACATAAAACGGACATTCCTGCCACAAAGTTCGATTCTTAAAATCTTTTTTTCACATTCACGTTTTGCTTCACGTGAAAAGAAATGAGAGTCGTAAAAACTTTTTTTTTTTTACTAAAAAGAAGTAAGAAAAGAACTTGTAACGAATTAATGGAAATGGAAGTTACTTTATATTTATTTTGAAGAAAAAATATTTCTACAAATTTAGGAAATTTTTTAAAAAAGAGTGATTTTTAAGCAAATAGAAACAAAAAGGAAATAGAAAAAAGAAAAAATGTAAATCAGGCACACAAATTTTAGAAACGTGTGGCAGGGGTGTTCGTAAATTGCAAAGGCTACAATTAAATGTCTACTTTAGTATCCTGAAGGCGTAGGGGTGTCGCAAAGACGTTCGGGACTAAATAAGAAAGAGAGAGAGAGAGAGAGAGAGAGAGAGAGAGAGAGAGAGAGAGAGAGAGAGAAAAAAGAAGGTACAGAAAAATAAAATAAATAAAAACTAAAGAGAAAATACAAGAGATCCGACACCAAACTCGTTGGGGCAAAAGCGACCAGGACTCTCGAGACACAGGTATTCCAGTGTCGCCTGTATACATGCATACATTATTATTGTTATAAGTCCCGGCAGCAGGTGCAACGTGGAAACCTCATACCCTCTTTTCAAAAGTTGAACCAATTTTGACTTGCCCACCCGCATAGTTAGTCGATATATATATATATATATATACATACTTTAATGTGCTGTGATAAAAATTCTGTGATATTGTGCGTGCAATAATTTTTTATTTTCCCAGGCCTAAAAAAAAATAAAGGACATTGTTTCTCTTTCTCTCTACAAGACAACAAAAAGGTATGTACAAATTCTTTAATCTTTAAAAAAAACAAAACCAGTGGAAGTTATAATTATAAAAAAATTTTATCAAATAATCCAAAAAAATTTTATATTTTGAAAACATAAATATAAAAAGAAATAAAATGTACAAATTTTTTGTCAATGAAAATTTTTCTTGATCGTAAAAATTTCTTTTTTGATGTATTTCCCCACGTCAAGTTGACTGTGTCAGAATACCCAGACATTCAAAAAAAAAAAAAAAATAAAATAAAAGAAAAGTTTTACGTCGACGTTATCATTCGAACCCAGAATGTGCAAGTTTTGCAGAAAAACGGAAGCAGAAAGCGGTAATAATTCTTTTTCAATTTTTGCGCATGTGTGGAACCTTCTTCTAAACCGCCAGTATATATAGATATTTCTTATCATATTATATGACCTGTCGTTATTTGTTACATCTAGGTGAATTCTCACTCTGTATCAGTTTTGACTTCCTAATGCGATTTTGTATATGCACATTATACATATAGAAACGTCAAAGTTATATAGAAGCTTGTTAACAAGTTACTTCCAACTAGCTCTTCACAAAATACTTTACTATACTATTACACTATATACATATATATATAAAGTTCAAACTTCACTTGTAACAGTAACGTGTAATTATATACCAAGAACTTTGGAAAATTTTTTAAATAAAATTTTAAGAATTAAATTTTTTTTGAAAATTTAATATGAAAAAAAAAAACAAAAATTATTGGTTTAAATACAGAAATTATTAGTTCAAATACAAAAATTATTGGTTGAAATAGAGAAACTATTTGTTCAAATACAAAAGTTATTAGTTCAAAAAACAGAATTTATTGGTTTAAATACAAAAAAATTGGTTGACATACAAAATTTATTAGTCCGAATACAGAAATTATTTATTCAAATACAAAAGTTATTGGTACAAATACAGAATTTATTGATTTAAATACAGAAATTATTGATTTAACTACAGAAATTATTGGTACCAATACCAAAAAATATTGGTTGATTGAAAATGTTGGTTCAAATACAGAAATTATTGGTTTAAATACAAAAAAATTGATTGAAATACAGAAACTATTGGTTTAAATACAAAACCTATTCTTTCAAATATAGAAGTTGTTAGTTTAAATACAGAAATTATAGGTTTAAATACAGAAGTTATTAGTTCAAATACAACAAAATTGGTTGAAATACAGAATTTATTGGTCCGAATACAGAAATTATGGATTCAACTACAGAAGTTATTGGTCCGAATACAAAAATTATTGATTCAAATACAAAAGTTATTGGTAGAAATACAGAATTTATTATTTTAAATACAGAAATTATTGGTATCAATACAAAAAAAAATTTGGTTGATTGAAAATGTTGGTTCAAATACAGAAATTATTGGTTTAAATACAAAAAAATTGATTGAAATACAGAAACTATTGATTCAAATACAGTACCTATTTTTTCAAATACAGAAGTTATTAGTTCAAATACAGAAATTGTTGGTTCAGATACAGAAACCATTTGTTCAAATACAGAAATTGTTGGTTCAAATACAGAAACCATTTGTTTAAATACAGAAGTTATTGGTTTAAATACAAAAAAATTGGTTGAAAGACAGAATTTATTAGTCCGAATACAGAAATTATTGCTTCAAATACAAAAGTTATTGGTACAAATACAAAATTTATTGGTTTAAATACAGAAACTATTGGTTCAAATACAAAAAATATTGGTTCAAATACAGAACCTATTCTTTCAAATACAGAACCTAATCTTTCAAATACAGAAGTTATTGGTTCAAATACAGAAACCATTTGTTTAAATACAGAAGTTATTGGTTTAAATACAAAAAAATTGGTTGAAATACAGAATTTATTAGTCCGAATACAGAAATTATTGCTTCAAATGCAAAAGTTATTGGTACAACTACAGAATTTATTGGTTTAAATACAGAAACTATTGGTTCAAATACAAAAAATATTGGTTCAAATACAGAACCTATTCTTTCAAATACAGAACCTAATCTTTCAAATACAGAAGTTATTGGTTCAAATATAGAATTTATTGGTCCGATTACAAAAATTTTTTTTGATTCAAATACAAAAAGTATTTGTTCAATTTGAGATGTTATTGGTTTAAATACAGAATTTATTTGAGCTAAGTAAATATTTATTTCATAATAGTCAAGTAACCAATTATTTGAATCAAATAAACTTTTTTATTTTTACAGTTCTTTAGACAGGGTTATTAGTTTTTTTTTATTAGAAGCACTTGATCTGTTTTCTGTCTTCATAAATATTCTAATTTTCTTAATAAATTCCTCTTACCTTTAAGTATTCATTTTAAAAATTGAAGAAATTTTATTACAAAAATCTAAATCTTAAAAACTATTTGAGTCATAAAATTGGTTCTTGTGGTACATTCTCTAATGTCTATTTTATATTTTTACAAATGCTCGTAATAATGAAAAAGGTTAAGAGTTTACATTATACGAAAGCTTTTAAAAGTATGCGTACATTGAAAAAGTTATCCAAGTCTGATAGACGGACATACAGTGAGAGAAAGAGAGATAGAGAAAGATTATACAAAAGAGAGATAAAAATAGAAAGTAAAAGAATGGAAAAGGTAAAAAAAAAAAAAAGTAAAGAGAAGACTCCCCAAAAATTCAAATGTGCTCGTTCATGTTATTGCAAAGTCTGTTTTATTCCACATTCACGTGTAAGTCCAGATGCATGCATAATTTAGAAACAATAAAAATTTCTCCAATCGTGAAAGCCCAGAGAATCTTGGTACCAGATGTTTCATGAATTTTATGAGTTTTTTTTTTTTTTTTTATTAAGACAGTAACACTCTCTCTATAGTTAAACACTTTTGGTCAGATTTCATTTCAAGGATTTTTTTCTCAAAAGTTAGTTTTTCTCTTTACGTTTAATTTTTTTTTCCAAAAAATAAAGATATTATTTTTAGGAAGCTGTTTTTGGACTAATGGGATTTTTAGAGTGTTAATAAAAAAACGAAAGAGTGTAATTGTCATATATTGACGAAAAAAAATGGTATTCCATCATAAAAATATAGATGCGGTGAAATTCATATCTCGGGTTTCATGAACATATACGTGATGTACTTAAATTCCATAGTGAGAGGAGGCGAATCGCCATTCATGACATGTAGATGTACGTGTATAGTGTCCAAGAGGTGCAAAGGTGGATCGTAAATAGATAAAGCTTTTACTTGACCGCACTTTATTGTTCTCTTAATAGTCAATCTTTCTATAATATTGACATTTACTGACATTTCACTTATTCGTTGGGTTTTTGTTTTCTTTCTCCTTCGAACGAATATGAAAAATATTGAATTCAGCTTTAGTTTTGTAATTTTTTCTATTTATATTCGTGTTATTGAATTTTCAATCTGGAAAAACTATCCAAGGCATGAGCCTTGGAGAGGGGTTCTCCAATCAGAGCGCATGCCTCCCTTCCCTGGTGGGACTCCGCCAACCACTGCGCTTCTCTCTTCTCCCCTCCCTTTCTTTCACAATCGTATATAAGGCGTCGGTGTCCCCGAGCGCAACGCAGTTCACTGTCAAGCGTCACACTGTCAACATTGTCGTAGCGGAAAAAAATTTTCTCTTCAAAATCCCATTGTTTTTATATTTCTACCAATAGCTATTTAAAGAAAGCTTTCATCAGCGTTATTTCTATTTTTTTTTTACAAAACTTTCTTTATAACTTTTTTTTAAGAACAGAATAAAGTTTGAAACCTAAGATACATAAATTGGCTACTTAGATATCTGGTAGGCTATAAAAGGAAAATGGTTAGAATGAGGGTGGGAGAAGAAATCGTGGTTTTTTTCAAGGTAGAAAAAGTCTGAGCTACCTGAGAACTTTTCCAATCATACCATCACTGAACTCTCTTTCGTTGGAAACTGTAAGAACGTAATGAAAGATCAGGAAAGAAACTCTAGACACGAAAGTTTTCTCAGGTTGCAGTGAAATCTTTTTTTTTCAACTTCCTTTTTTTCTCACCCGCCCCCCCCCCCACCCCTTTCCTGCCCAACTGAAAATCTCTGGACAGCGAGGGAAGTTTATTCAATTTATGTAATTGGACGAACAAGACAAAAATCTGACGGTACTACCTTTTGGTCAAGTTAAAATGAATTAGTACGAACTGCTTTCTTATGTAAGACAAAAGAGAAAACTGTCTTATTTAATTAGACATCTTCTTTCTTAGGTAAAATTTATTCTTTTTGTTTAAGAATTGGAATTTTAATTTAATTTTGATATTAGAAGTAAATGAATTTTTTTAAATTTATTTTCGAATATAAGGGCATAAATATCTATATGTAGTACAATCTGTCCTCTAGTTTGTACGGTTGAAATGGACGGGAAGTTGTATGTTGTGTGTATTCTAGCGAACTGCATTTGCAAGTTGCAACTAACCCGTCAACCAGCTCAGTTCAAGTTCATTGTTGCGAGTACTGATTAGAGCAGAGCTTTATTGTTCATCGTGTTACAAGCAGGTGACTCGTTCTCCTTCCATCTCTCTCACTCTCATTGTTATCTTTGAGTCAAGAGGATAAATCTACGTTTCGCTTCGGATTCCCTCTTACATATTATTGCTAAGAAAATAATCTTCCAAATATCACAAGTTTTCCTTTTAAGTGTTAATTGCAACAAAAATTATTTTTTACGATCACCTAAAATTTTCCCAACATTATAATTTAATGTCATACAATAAATAACATAGAAAATATTAAAAATACAACTTCCACTGGGTTTTGAAAAAAAAACAATTAAATGTAAGATATATTATTTCATCTCCTTCATCTATTGTCATTATTGATATCGCAATTATAATATAAAACAATTATTAATTTTTGTATTTGTAAAAATTGTTCACTTTCTTACAGCGGAAATAATTCTTAATTCTTAATATATAAATTAATTCTAATTCAAAACTCTTTTTGAATTAAATTCAAAATTATTCAATTGAAA